TAAAGGTATCCCTTTTTCAAGCTTTACTTTAACCTCTTTCTGTTTTCAGAGTTATCATATACTCTTCTCTTTTAGGTCAATTTAATTGGCACGGAAATGATGAAAAGAGTTACCCTCTCAGAACAACTAACGCGTGACTATCAAATGGAGGCAGATAATTGGAAGGAACAGTGACAGTCTTCAAATTGAGGTGGATACTTTGGAAGAAAGTAAAAGTACCTTAGAGCAGCAGGTACGGGCTTTGACTTCAGAATTGGCAGTTGAAAAAGCTTCCTCAAGTCAAGCAAATAAAGAGAAGTTGCGTCTTGAAACCTCTTTTTCTGAGCAACTTTCCAAGGCCAGTGAGGAGATTAGAGAGTTGAAAGCTCTCTTGGGTGAAAAAGAAGCGTATGCTGGTGAACTCGTGCAGAATTTGACTCAACTCAAGAAGACCTCCGGGTATCTTCTGATAAGGTTTGTTCTTTAGAAAATTCTCACGCTTTTCTTCAAGCTTCTTATGAATCTGCCTTGGCTGAAAATGAAAAGTTAAGAAATGAAATTGCTGACTGGGAGAGAGATTATGAAATCCTTGAAGATAAAACTGCCATTGAAGTGAGTTGGGCGTTTCTAAATTCCCGCCATGATACCCTCGTTGAAGCTAGTGAAGAGAATTTAACTTGGAATCCGAGTTAGCCAAGATCAAAGAGACTATTGAGAAAACTCAGCAAAGACAAGATTTTTCTTCTCCCGTGGCTGAAGCTTCTAAAAATGTTGAAGATGATCGGGTATCCTCTCTCCTTCAAGTCAAGCTGAGCCCGCTGCTGTTGATGTCCCTGCTTCAGTTCCTTCAACTTCTCAGTGAAAAGTTTATGTTGTTTAAATTCCTTTGTTGTTTTTTTTCTTTTGATGGTATGTGGTGGAAACCCTTGATCTTTTTAAGGGTTTATTGAAAACGTTAAGTCCCCAGACCTTTTATGGGGCATTTTGTATAAACAACTTTTGGTTTATGACTAAGTTCATACTTGGTCTAAACTTTTCTAATATGAAGAAATTTTCGTTGCTGTTTGAACTTCTTTTTTGTTTATTCTTGCCTTTATTTTTTAAGGACTTACTGAATAACTTGCATTTTTATTTTTCAAAAATGCTTTTATTTTTAACTTCATGAATACTGGAATCAATCATGAATTTTATAATAGAGGGCCCTTTTATATTCGACACTTAATGAAGAAGACGTCTCAACTTCATAATGGTGTTAATATACGATAAAAGAAATAGGAATACACATGTTTCTTGAAATAATTTTGACAAGTTTTTATTTGAACTTTGTCTAGTTTTGGAGAATACTTTACACGTATTTGAATTACTTCTATAACTTTCTCGTAACTGTTTTTCTTATAACAGATTTCAAAAAAGAAAACGAACACAAGGTTTTTATTTATAACCCGTTTCAGTACATTGCCTTTACCCTAACTATGATAAGGTTTTTCTTTGGCCTTAGCTCGTGACTCTGCTCTGCACTTGATTCATTCAATGAGTGAACTTTTCAAGCTTGATCTTTGATTGTTTCTCAATCTTCTTCATTACCTTCTTAATACACGTGTCTATGTATATTATATAGTCCCCCAAGTGTTTGAGCATTGAAGTATGAAGCCTCGAGCACTTGATTGTTCCTATCATTTTGGTCCTTTTCCTGTAAAAGGAAAAACACACGGAACTCAGAGGTGCGATTATAGATGAAGACTGCTTAACTCATCTGAATTTCTATCAAAATAGTTGTAACCCTAGACCGGGAATTTTAATTTATTCAACGTGCCTTGCAGGTCGTGATTCATCATTTAGTACGGGCTAGCTTTTTGCCTATCATCTAAAATCGTTAGTAAAACTTTAATAATTCAAAAAATAGAATTTTAAAATGAAGATACCCGACCGTGGGTATTCGTTTAGAAATAGTATCTCTTCAGGTGAACGGCATTCCAATGTGAAGGTAATATCTTGCCATCCATTGTCTCCAGCTCGTATGCTCATTTTCCCGCAATACCATGAATCCTGTAAGGTCCTTCCCAAGTTGGACTCTCCCGTATTAGCCGCCTTCGTGGATTGAAAAACTTTCTTGAGTACGAAGTCCCCAATCTTGAATTATCTTAATCGTGCCTTTCGATTGTAATATCGTTCAATGACTTGTTTTTGTGCTGCCATTCTTATTAATGCAGTTTCTCTTCTTCCTTCAAGTAAGTCAAGGTTTATGCGCATCTCCTCTTCATTAGATTCTTCTGACGCTTGCGTACACCTCGTGCTTGGTTCCCCTATCTCAACCGGAATTAAAGCTTTAGCTCCGTACACCAATGAGAATGGTGTTTCACCTGTACTTGTTTTTGTTGTCGTGCGATATGCCCATAAAATACCAGGTAGCACTTCTGGCCAATTGCCTTTAGATTTTTCTAATCGTTTCTTCAAATTGTTGATAATGACTTTATTTGTTGATTCAGCTTGTCCATTACCCACCGGATGATAAGGCGTGGAGGTAATCCTTTTGATTTGCCAACTTTGTAAAAATTTTGTGATTTGTGCGCCTATAAATTGTGGGCCGTTATCACATACGATTTCTTTTGGTACACCAAATCGACATATGATATTTCGCCAAATGAAATCTCTAACTTCCTTTTCTCGTACCTGTTTAAATGCTCCTGCTTCTACCCATTTAGTAAAGTAATCAGTGAGTACAAGTAGGAATTTTACCTGTAGGCATTGGCTACAAAAGCACAAGACATGGTAAGTCTTTTATGTTTTTTGCTAGTTCTGAATTTGTCATCAATTTAATCATTACCTAAAAAGGGGCAGTCCCGTGCACTAAGCTCCCACGATGCGCGGGGTCCGCGGAAGGGCCGGACCACAAAGGTCTATATATTGTATGCAGTCTTACCCTGCATTTCTGTAAGAGGCTGTTTCCACGGCTCGCAACCCTGACCTCCTGTTCATATGGCAGCAACTTTACCAGTTACGCCAAGGCTCCCCTTCAATTTAATCATTACCTAGTTTAGTGAAAATGCATAGGAAAGTAGCCCAAAAAAGAGTTTAAACTGAACCACTGTTACTTTTCATAAGGTGAGGCAACTAGGTACTTGCTGATTTCATCAACCTCATCATTCGTTTGTTAATGTTGCTAATAAAAGTATTACAATGTTAGTAACTTTTTTTCTCCAGAATTCAAATTCTAACTAGCAAGTTTAAGGTCTGGAGATAGCGTTAAACCTTGTATTTAAAACATACATCCATATAACAGTATCTTTTGACCAACAACCTTCTTTCATTGATTAGCAACAGATAGGTGTAGGTATATCAAGAACCCAATCCAAAAGGAAAACATCAATGTATTCTGCACTATTGTGCTGAGATGAACCACTCACCTGTAACCAAAAGAAAAAGCCACGCAAGATCTTCAACTTTTTCCTATTATCATTATCAACTTCTTTAAGTCTTTTTTGAAGGTCTGCAGGTATAATTTGAAACATGTACTATCATGTAACAACGGTATAGTGAAATTAAGGAAGCACAAAGTTTGAATAACTTCATAGTGCCAAAACTGCAGATAAGTCAGACAGAGAGCGCACAAAAAGTAAGGTGAAGGTGAAGATTGGCATTGATCTGAACACATCAAAATTGCAAAAGTCAGTGAGCGTTCTTTGGGGGTTCTGTTACTTTAATAAACAAATTTAAAAAACCAAAATTCTGCAAAGGTGCAAAAACCGGACAAACGGAAGGCATGGTATAAACAAATCAATGTATCGTCTCAAAAAAATTAAACAACTCCTAAACTATACAGAATTAGCGTTCGTAAGATAAGAATAAACACTAGAGACGCTTGGTCATAATCTTTAGCAAATAGTTAATACTTCACAGTAGCTAAACGTTTCTTCAATTTGGCTTTTCCAATCTCTTCACGTAATTCCTTTTCCCATGTCTGTTTTTTCTTGTTGATTTGTTGTTCATCAAATTCTTCACACATCAACAATGAAATTTCTTTTTTTGTTTCGAGATCCAAAGCCCTTTTTATATTTTCTCTTTGGCCTTGTAACGTTAACTTTGCTTGTTTTATCTCTTCAAACAACTCCTTTTTCCACATCTCTTTATTCTTGAAACTACTCTGCTGCGAGTAAGCCATTGGAGAATAAAAACTTTGGACGGAGAAAGAAAATATCGAGAATGAAAGAATAGAGTAACTTTGGGCAGAGAAACAAAAATATATAGAGAACGAATAGTAACAGTGAGGAGCAATTTGGGCAGAGGAAGAGAATGAGAGAATAGTAGTAATAGTGAGGAGCAACTTTAGACGGGGAAAGAGAAATATATATAGACAATGAATTGACATGCTTTCCTATTCCGATCATGTATAGGAAAGGAAATTTTGATTCAATATTTTGGAGAAAACAATTGGACACGCTGAGAGCAATGACGTACCCATTCCCTGTTGACACGCTTTCTATTCCTATCTTGCATAGGAAAGGAAATTTTTGATTCAATATTTCGGAGAAAACAATTATTTCCTATTTCGTATAGGAAGGCTGAAGGCAATGACGTTTCGAAAATTTGTTCAACCAAAATTGTCACAATTTTATGTTTAATTTTGTGTCAAATCTCAAGAGATCTTAATTTTCACAGGTAAGAAATCCAAAAATTAAATACAAGATATCTTTGCTCAGCCATTTTCTTCTAATCAAAGCGTAGAAGGTCATATTGAACCATTTCTTTTAAGGTGACACCTTGACGTTGTCATGTTTACCAAATATTATTCAGAAGTCCTAAATGGTAATTCAGTTGAATCTTAACCTTTGACTTGTGCATTTTTACAAACTTAAACGTGATTATACAGAAGTCGAAAATTTTCCGAAACAAAAAGATCGCCTGCCTGAAAGATGGCTGCTCCTAGTATGCAATTCAAAGAGTGCCAGCTCCCCGTTCTATTTGTGATCTTAGGTGCCTAATTAACCATAGCCTTACTAAGCAAGGAAGAAAAAAGTAAATAAGTTTCGACTTTAAATAATTTCACTTCAAAATAGTTCAAGGAGTAATAGGACCACTGCAAAGTAAAGGTATGTAACTCAAAATCCAGATCGAGTTCAAGGGGTTTTTTATGCTTTTTTCCTAACATTTAGTAAAACTTGGAGATGTATCCAGAACTATCACCACAAGTATCATTTTCTTTATCAGACTGAGCTGATTAAAAAGAGCTATACCATAAGTAACCAGAAACTATCACCATAAGTATGACTAGAACAATTAAATAACAAAAAATGGACCTGACAACTATTCCAATACATAAAGATGACTTGAGCTGGTCAATTTCTCAAAGCTAATCCATCCCATGTCTCTGTCTAAGCTACAAGTGTACTCGCTGTTGTAGACTCACTGCATATAAGAAACATTCACAATCAGCAACGGTAAGGAGAGCATAACCAGGAATTACACTTTGTATGATCAGTTGGGCTACTGGAACCATGTAGTGAAGGCTTTCTTGGATAGGAAAAAAGAAAAAAAATACAAAACGAATGGATAAACGACGTCCGTAGAGATTTCAGAATAATGTATATCTCTCCGTCCCATTTAAGTGCCCTGCATTCTAGTGTTAAGATTAAAGTTTAAAGTTCGAGAAATTTAAGAAAAAGTTGATTTACAATTCAAGAATACAAATTCAACTTCCCTTCTAATGTACTTCCTGCAGCACAACATTGAGAAGATACTGGTAAGTGCAGGGAAATTACATTTGTTTCAAGAAAGTGACAATTTCGGCACTAGCTCATTAATTAGCAGAGAATAAAGGAAAGGTTAGCATTTCATAGATGGTTCTAATAGTCCTACGTCCAACAGATTATATTTGAAATGGTATATGGATCAGGAAGAGAGTCTAGCAGCAATGCAATCCAAAGATGCTATACAGCATAGCTCATACTGAACGATTAAGTTATAGCCTATATGGACTACTCGAGTCTAATTAGTTTTGGAATGTAACCTTACTTGGGTCAAATAAGAACAAGTGGCTCAAGAACTACACGATGCATCAAGGTTATGGAAACTGGAAAGGACAAAATATAAGTTCCTGGGAGAAGCCATGGTACAACAAGTTGTATAAGAACTAACATTACTTGACCCAAGATGGTGGATGCGAAAAGGACTACCTGGACAAGAGCTACATAGTCTAAGTGGAAAACGGTTAGTTATAGCAGAAGTACGCTGAAATAGTGAAATATTATGTGCCAAAAGTCATATTAAAAGTTTTCGAGTAACAACAAAGTGGTTTTAACCCAAGCACAAATCTAACACATTTGCTAACTGGTTCTAGGATGGAACTCTCAGGTGGATCATAATCAACACAAACCCATTAGCAACATGTCAAAAATGTAAATGATTGAGAGGTCTTCATTTGGTGACAGAAACATTAAAACTAACATCTCAGCTCGACCCCTCAAAAAAATCTCTACCAAGTGGGAGAAACTAAGAGGTACTCCATATCTTTGGGAAATCGTAACACAACTAAGAAATCAATGTTTCAGCTCAATTCTTCAAAAAGAAAAACTTTATCAAGTGGAACAAACTATGCATCAAACCTAGCCACTCATAATTTAGGGCCAGTTACACAAACACTCACAAAGGGAATTCAGAAAGATAGTACACTTTAAAAAATGTAGAGTACTATCTTTCTTATCAAACTATGCACCATAGCTAGCCACTCATAATTTAGGGGCCAGTTACCGAAAAACACTCAGAAAGGGAATTCAGAAAGATAGTATACTTTAAATAGTATAGAGTACTGTCTTCCGCATCAATTACTTTTCTATCCCTACGATTCACTCAAACAAATCAACCCCTTAGTCAAATCACAAACAGAAGCTAAAAAGAATCAATGGCACATAACCACAAAAGTTGTGCAGGAAAACTTTTCCAGTCTTGACTATAACCTAAAAGGATACATATAATTAGGAATACTATTTCCAAAATTGCAGACCTCCAGAGGCAACTAGATGAAGTGCAAAGTAAAACGGGCGTGGTTATTAGTCTAGAAAATCTGCGTCCAGAATGTCCATAATGAATTTTTATGCCCATTAATACCCTTTTGGAGTAAGAGGCGAGAGTGGGTTTAAGTTTCCAATTTCACCCTTTATGGTCATATCACCTAAAAAGTAAAAAGTAAAAAGTATATGTAATAGGTCAGCTAAAAGGTGACCAAAATTTCTTTTAACTTCTATTTTTCACGTTATTGCTTACACTATATTTCATGCGATATGTTTAACCCTATTCTTTCACACTACTTACGGGGTGCTTTGAGTAAAATACTCGTTTGAGTTGTTTTTTAATTAAAAAAAATGACCCACAAGTTATTTATCTAAAGGAAATAACCCTCTTCTAGGATTAAAGTATATTAGAGATTAATGATATTTAAGAATAATCTAAAACTAAATTCAAATAGTTGTTTAAACTTTTGAGAAAAAACACCGAAAAACCTTAATATACAAAAGGTCCCATAATAGGGAGCGGCAAAATTAGCCCATGGAAAAATGACCCACCAACCTGCCCAAGTTTGGATTGGTTATTGACCCGTCCATTTATTAACTCGGCTCATTTTCACCCGCAGAATTCAGCACATCTAAAAGTTGGCTGATTTTTAGCCCAAATTGACCCATGACTAACCTTGTCAAAATATTTTGAAACTAACTTTTTTTTGTTGATATGTTATATATAGCCTAATAAAGAGAAAAAAAAGTTATATTTGGTAATTAAACAATTAATAAGAAAACAAATATATTATTTATCTTAAGGAAATATAAGAAAGTAGGGATGTGAAAAAATAGAGTTAAAAGAAAGCAAATAGTCATTTCTAGTGGTTTCACCCATAGTATAGGAGCTTTTTAGTTTATACTCCCTCTGTTACAGTTTCTGTGAACCAATTTTCTTTTTGGTCCGTTCCAAAAGAATGACCCCTTTCTAAATTTGGTAATAATTTAGCTTAAACTTACAATTCTACCCTTAACGAGAAGCTTTTATACCACACAAATACTCTGGGCCCCTTTTTGACTTGTTTAGGACCACATATTCCAAGAGTCTTCATTGTTTCTTAAACTCCGTGCCCAGTCAAACAGGTTCACATAAATTGGAACGGAGGGAGTAGTACTTTTTTTTTACTTTTTAAGTGATTTGACAATAAGAGATAGAAATTTAAAACTTTGACTCACTCTCCCCACAAAAGGGTATAGTGGACTTAAAAGATTGTTCTGGATATTTTGGACACAGATTTTCTGGACAAGTAGCTTTTTACAAGTAAAATTGTCAAGAGAGGAAGAGAGAGAATTGCTTACTATTTCCAGACTGGTGGAAGCTTCTTAGTCTTCTTGTAATAGCGAGCCAAGCGGTGAATCCTACTCTCCACCAAAATCAAGCGGAACTTGGAATCCTTGTCCTTTCTGTTCCTCTCCAAATGCTTCCTGATGGCTACTGCCTTCTTAATTAGGTGGTATAGATCCTCTGGAATCTCGGGAGCAAGCCCTATCCAATTGCCCAAAATATTTCACATGTTAAATAAATCAACTGCGCCTTGATTCCAAGCTGGTTGGAGCTGTCAATACGAACTATTTATACACTTCACTCCATTGGGGCACATTTTGTTCAAATCGAGAGAAGTAGTAATTGATATGTTAAACCAGATTTTACCGAAGTTTAGTGGCACATTGGATTTTACACATACACATATACCACTCTATTGGGGCACATTTCGTCCAAATAGATAATTAATTGATATGTTAAACCAGATTTTCCCGAAATTTAATTGCAGTTGAATTTCTTGCAGCCCTAATAATTTAAAAAAAGATAAATGAAAAAGGTAAATACCGTGAGCCTTGAGGATACGCAAAATCTTGCTACCAGTGACACTCTTGACTTGGGCAATTCCGTGAGAATCACGAAGGATCACACCAATTTGTGAAGGTGTCAATCCTTTTTTTGCAAATTTGCAGATATTATCCTCAACCTAAAAATTTATGGAAACATAATCATATACGAATGTCAATATACTAACTTGTTTCAATATTTAAAAAAAAAAAAGTAGATGAATTACATCTGGAGCGGAGATCTTAAGCCAACTGGGAGGAGTTCTCTTATAAGGAAGAGCTGAAGCTGATATACCTTTACTGAAACCACAAAAACGCAAATGAGAAAATTAGAGTGATAATTTAAGTAGAAATATGGAGAAAAGAAACGAACCCGCGACTGTGCATACGACCCATGGTGAAGATGTGAGTGAAATGTGCTGCAGATTGTAGCTACGGTTGAAGGAAGTTGACAAACCGTAGGTTCCACCACAGTTAACTAGGGTTTATGAAAGAAGAGGATGTTGCACGTTCCAAGGGATTGGGCCAGAAATCCTGGGTCCAGTTTTTGACCCATCCAAAACATATCCCAACATTTGCACAAATAGGACAGTTTTGCGCCGTTATTTAAGTTTTGTCTCCATTTAAGGAATTTGTGCAAAAATAACCTTTCTAAGATTAACGAAAAAAGATTTTGAATACTGTAGACATCAAAATTTTATCGGATCAAATTCATATGAAATTCAGACTAAGTCCTAAATTTAAGATACTACAAGTAGAGTTTGTTAGGATTTCTTGGAGGCTACTCTACTTGAAACTCTAGCTTGGAGGCTACTCTACTAAAAACCTTAGTCACCTATAAAAGGGTCCATATATTCCCTTTGAAAGCATCTCGAAATTCCATAAAAATTCATGAAATATTCCCCAAGAGATCAAAAATATCAAATATTATCTTTCTCAAAGTCGCCGAAGTGATCAACGGATGTTCTTTCTTTTCATGGAGAAATACGTTAAGCACTCAAATCACAGAGAATGATCTAGAGTGAAAAATCAAGGGAACAAACAGATACCTATAGAGACTCATCAATAAAATTACTCATCTTTTATGTTTGTGATGGCAATTTTTGACGCATATCGAAATTTTATTGCAAACAAATTGGAAGGTCCGGTGGGACCAAATTTGCACTTCATCTCTTCCCTCACGATGAAAAGAATATGGTATCTTCTTTGCTGAGAAATCTAACCCCCCCCCCCCTTCTCCCATCCCGACAAGCCTTGAAGTAGGGGGCATTTGTAGACATCAAAATTTTATCGGATCAAATTCATATAAAATTTGGGTTAAGCCCTAAATTTAAAATACTACAAGCAGAGTCTGTTAGGGTTTTTTGGAGGCTACTCTGCTTGAAACCCTAGCTTGGAGGCTACTCTACTAAAAATCCTAGTTTATAAAATGGGCTACATATTCCCTTTGAAAGCATCTTGAAATTCCATAAAAATTCAAGGAATATTCACAGAGAGATCAAAGACACCAAATATTGTCTTTCTCAAAGCCGCCAAAGTGATCAATGGATGTTCTTCCTTTTATCAAATATATTCTAAGCAAGTTCGCATCATCCTACGTTCGACAAATATGCTGGTTAAGTCCTCGAATCACGGAAAACGATCTAGAAAGAAGAATCAAAGTAACAAACAACTTTGTACCCACAAAGACTCATCAATAAAATTACTATCTTTTATGTTTGTGATTACAATTTTTGACGTATGTCAAAATTTTATTGCAAACAATTACCCTCCTCTTTCCTCCTCCCTCATCCTTTTAACTCCCATTAATCATTGTGTTTCACCTCATACCACAAATGATTGCTCAATAAGGCATTATTGCCCATTAATATCTTTTTTTTTTGTTGGTAAAAACAAATACTTATTACTTAAAATTCCAAAATAGTCACAAACCAACCATATTTGGCCAGCATTGTTGGTTAAAGTATCATTAATATTACATACCGCATTTTTCTACTAAATGTAGTTCTTAGGATGTTTGTCCATATTGCATCATTAGCAAATATCGAAGAAATCACCAGAATTTATGTGTTGTCAAAAAGCTTCTTTTTAGCTAGAAGGTCTGCCACCTGGTTCTGCTCCCTAAAGCTATGGCTGATGACTGAATTCCCTAGTCGAGCCATCAATGACATGTCAAGCCACCAATGACATTCATTCAGTTATAATAGGGTTATAAGGCAAATGACCCAGCCTGTAACATCTTAGTTACTTCCATTGAATCAGTGTTAATGATAAGAGGAGTCAGTTTGTGTTCCATAGCTATTATAAGGCTTTAAAATAAAGCATTTAATTCAGTCATGTTATTAGTAATGCTGGGAAAGCCTTTCATGAAGCCAACAACCCAATCACCCATGTGGTCCCTGATAACTCCCCCTAACCCCCCCTATGTCCCTTGTTCCTGGGTTCCCAAAGGAGGAGCTATTAGTGTTGAGCCTGTATGCACCTCTGTCAGGGGGGTTCCCACTTTACCTGGATGGTAGTCCACTGCCGTTGCGAATTGTTTTTTTGCCACATAGTGATATTCCATTGCCCTGGCAATCACATTGTGGACTGGTATGTGGTCTTTTTGTTGTTGAACAGATTATTGTTCCTTGTTAGCCCATTAATATCTTTTAGTTATCATTATCTATCCAAACTTCTCTTTTTCTTAACTTGACCCAAAATACGAATTTATTTCAATAATATTCTCGAACGTTTTTATATTGTATAAGTACTTTTCTTAAAAGTTGTCTGTTATCATTGCTTTTGTCCCACTTAGTTAAGCTTGAACATACTTGATGACTTGATGTTAGTTATCAAGTAATTGCTAACAAATCACTATCGAACAAATTTGGTTGCAATCTTCCTATTTGTATTTTTGGTAGGATGTGAATAATTCTCAAGCTTAGACATTTGATCTTGAAGTTTCAAACTTCAGATATACGTGCCTGGCGTTGGAGATTGTCAACTTCAAATATTCAGATTTGAAGTTAGGCTTGACAGTCCCCAACTTTAGACCCGCGATTTTCAATTTCAAAAGTAGGAGAACTCTTTTTGTCAAAAACGAGTGGATAAAGCATACAACCACAAACAAGGGATGTTTAGTCTCAAAACAGATTCCTTTCTTTTTTTCTTAATGTTACAAGTAGATTGCTGCATCAATAAACACATAATTGATCATGGCTGAAGTTAGGAATTAATAATGGCCAAGAGATTCCACTACAGCAAGTAGAAGTATTGACGCATTGAGATAAAAGATACAAAGCAACTGTGCTATACACAATTGGTTCAACATTGCAAGAAGCAAATGTATTCCTCAAGTACCTCTACGTTCTACAAGATGTTTCAGAATGATGAAAACCAAAATACAGGATACAAACCAAAGACTTGAACCAAGAATTGTTCAATGACAGTGCAACAGAAGAAAACAGTAAAATCAACAATTAGGAAAATGGTTAATGGGGTACAATGAAACATGCAAATAAAAAGGCTAAGCTACCGAGGGGAAAGGTCAGGTCTTCTTTCATGCTATGAATAATATAGCCAAAGATGCAACTCACCTGCATGTGAAAAATAAGAAAAATCAGTAAAGTTGAAATATTTCACCCAATCCTATTAGTGATCAAAATTAAATATGATATTAGTTGTATCAATTGAAATTGTATTACAACAAGGGTTAACCAAGTTCTTGAAAAGCTTTTCAAGTTTACGGCAAAATTCACTAGGCTCCTCCTGGAAACTGTTGTAACATGAACATAGTTTGAACCATGTTTAATCCCATAGGGATAATTAAGCGTCCCACACACTGGGAGGAAAGTTAATTCTCTTACAGGTGATATCCTAAATTAAAGGTGGATTATAATCTCAACCACAAAATACTTCTTATCCTAGCAAGATGAATCTTCTGCTTTTCCAAAACATCGCAATGCGTTGACAACACAACACAAATGAATAAATGCCATCTCTTTTAACGTCTTACATATGCGTCTTAAAATCAGCAAAGAACTCACTTCCTTTCCCTCTTAAGTTTATTCTTATTGTTAAATATAGTAGGCTACAGGAAATAAAGGTCATGATCATAACCAACCTCCCAACATCAAATATTGTGGTCAAGTTAAGCAATTTGGAGGCAGCATTTACTCAGTTATAACTATGAAATTAGTTGTATGCCTTACATTTTGTCTATTTCTCAGAACCCAGAAATTATCTTAGACTTTTTTTTAACAGTGGTGATGTCCGAGCCAGCTCGATCATACCTTGACTATTCTGTAGGGTACTTGCTATCTCTAATGGGTAACTCTGCCACCAATGCAAGCAGATGAAACGAAATCATCAAGCATTCTTTGAACCCTGGTCTACAATGGTTTTCGTCCCACTTCATCGACCACCAGAACATACTTTTGTTGGCTTATAGTTATATTTGACTTGACTATAATCTATACTATTTGTTTTAATAACAACGGAGTTTGGACTAACTTGCGAGCACCTCGACTATAATCTATGCAAATTATAAAGGATTACCAATAGTGTTTTGGTGTAACTCAATTGGTCAATCATAGAGCCTCTAATAAATTTTCTTTTAAACAATGCAATTTAAGGGACCTTTTACAGAAGTACAGAACAGTGGTTATATCCTTCTAATTCCAGTTTCCAACTTTATCACTACTTATATTTTTGTTATTTCAAATGCATTTTTTCGGCTCATCAAAGTTAAACCACACATCATTAATGCGCCTAACCCCAGTGAGTGCTTAGCAAGCCGATTATTAATCACTTAAATGAATTACTTCTCAGAGTTGTGACTTGATTTTTTAAAAAAATGATAAGGTTGTGACTTCAAAAAACAAGATCAGAGGATTGTAAGTTCACCAACAACCTCCAGATCTGCATTTAGTTTCATTGCAAAAACCAACACACATCACATTTACTCTCTCAGCCTACGACTGAAGATAAATACATATTTAGAGAGAAAGACTTTCTGAAATCCTCTACCCCCCCCACCCCCCCCCCCCCCCTAAAAAAAAATGTTTTATGTAGAAACCCTCAATTTAAACCATTCTGCTCTCCTGAAAATGTCAAAAAGTGAATCTCCTCTTCATAATGAACAAAAAACTTTCCAAGCAAGAGCAACTTTGATGATTTTTAAATTTATGGCATATCAAAAGGAAGTTATATCAAAAAAGTTTTGAGCCTCTTCAACCTAAACCTGATCAGCTACTATCTTGCAAGACCCATATACATACACCTTCTCTAACTCACCAAAATCAAAATTATTCCACCATACAAAGGGGCACAAACCTTGTGCTTTTACTGTCACTCTAATTAAATGTTCTAGTTCTATAAACCAAGTGCTACCATTTTACTACAAATCCTAGATACAGATCTTAAAGTAAATCACTAGTTCCAGAGGAAATGCTGGACAACAAAACAATTCTTTCCATCTTCTAAGAATCTCCACTTCACTGTGCAATAGAAACTA